AAATGGGGGATGATAACCAAACAACACCCATTCTTTTGGGAAGGCCTTTTCTGAAAACCGCCAAAACAAAAATTGATGTGTCTAGTGGTTCATTAACGATAGAATTTGATAACCAAAAAGTAGAATTCAACATATTTGATTCTACTAAAAAACAAATTAAAAATCAATCTCTTTGTTCTTTAAATGTTTTTGAACCACCAACACTGAATATTTTTGTTAAGGAAGAACCCAGAAAATCCATTTTGAAAGGAAAACCACCTACCATTGAAGTGGTAACTAGGAAGAAAATTCGACCTTACTGGAAAAGGCCGAAGAAAAAGAATGAAACAAGGGATATTCACGATCCCACATAAAAACAAAAAAAAAAATAAAAAAAATAAAATAAAAAATAAATAAATAAACGTCGTGCCGCGACATTAAATCAAGCGCTTTTTGGGAGGCAACCCAAGTTTGTGTTTTGAATTATTTTTGTGTGTGTGAGAAAACTCTTTTTAAAAAAAAAGTTTTTTTTTTGGTGGGGCCTGGAAAAAAACCCGACCGGGTAAAACACAAAACAACCACTGCTTTAGAAAAAAAAAAGAGGAAAAACCCGACCGGGTATTTGTAAAACCCGGCCGGGTAAAACAGGCGAACCAGCCACTGCTTTAGACGAACGGAAACCCATTCGGGTATAAGGAAAGCCCGGCCGGGTATTCGTGAAAATGTGAGTTTTTCAGCGTTTTTTCAGTCCGAATTTATGCTCAAATCAGCCCACCAAACTTCATCTTCTTCCCTAAACTCCAAAGTTCAAACCCCCAACCTCCATTGTTGAGCAACTTAAGCTTCGAATCCACCCTCTTTCTCCACTAAAAGTCCAAATCAACCCCATATTCTTCTTCTCCACATCACCCTCTCTATCCCCATATTCACAAAGCCCACCAAATTCTCCCAAATCAAAAATCCCAAACCTAGCCCCAAACCCTCAAAATCCGAATTCCAATACTTTCATCTCTCCAATCCAAAAAAAAAAAAAAAACAAGCAACAACAATTGGAAGCACTAGGGACAGTGCTCGGACTAAGTAGGGGGAGTCACTCATTTGGTATGTACTCCTTTTTCCACCTTGAACTTGCATTACTACTTAAAAAAAAAAAGGAAACAAAAGAAAAAAAGAAAAAATGCTAGTTAGGTTGAAAACCCAAAATTGGGCAATCTAAGCAAAAGTGGCTAAAATGAGTGAGTTGAAAAAAAAAAAAAAAAACAGGAAAAAAAATGAGAGGCTAGGATGAAAACCTGAAAGGGCTCCTAGGCAGAATGAGAGAATGAGAGGAAATTTTATCTGAGTTTATACATGAACTCATGTAATTTGAGGAGGGATGCGAAACTGAACATTTAATTGCTTTAAATTTATCTGATCTGTGGATTGTGGACCGTTATGCCGATATTTTACTCGAGGACGAGTAATGGACTAAGTAGGGGGGAGTTTGATAGTATAAAATTGTTATGGTTTATATTTGTAATTTTAACTAGTTTTATTTATTGTTGTTTGAGAAATTACACACTTTTGGTGTAATACTTTATTTTTCCTAGTTTATTGTAATTTATTTGTTTTAGATCTTAAGCTTGAATAAATTAGTCTACAACAAAGGAGCATGGAAGATATCTTATAAGATCAAAGGAAGGTGCAAGGGAGCAAGAAATCATGCAAAAAATGTGATTTGGTGAGTTACCCGGTCGGGTATGGCATTTACCCGGTCGGGTATAAGGTGAAAAACGAAGCTTCTGGGAAGTTTTATCAAATACCCGGTCGGGTATTCCCTATACCCGGTCGGGTATGAAGTGATTTCGGGCAAACGAACGTGCAAAAGAACACCAGAACATGGGAAGAAGATTTGATTTGACAAATACCCGGTCGGGTATAGCAAATACCCGGCCGGGTATCCGGCATTAGGTGTTGAAAACACCTATAAATAACCCCATTTTCCTTCACTTTTAATCATCCCTTCTTCCATACTCTTAAGCTCAGTTTAGAATAGTGTTTCTTTTATATTTTTATAGCATGTTTAGTCTCCAAATGAGGAGCTAAACTCTTCCATCTTGGTTTTGCTACTTTGAAGCTTAATGAATTTGTAAGTTGTGAGTTATTCTCTTTAATCTTCTTCCTTGAATATTAATTCTTCCTTTAAATACTATTTCTATATCAATGTTGGGGAGTGTTACTAAGATGACAATTAGTTAACATCTTGACATTAGTTATAGTAATAATTATTTCTTCCTCTACGTTAATATTGGGGAGTGTTACTAAGATGACAATTAGTTAACATCTTGATATTAACTATAGTAGGATTCATCTTCTTTAATATTCTTTCTTGAGTATTAATTAATTCCTATTCATATTTCATATTAATATTTTGAACATTACTTAAAGGATCAACTAGTTTTGTTTCATATATTAATTAATACTAGAATCGGTCGATTAATACGCTTGTTATTAATTCGGTCCTTTCATGGTAGTAGACTTGGATTATTAATGCATGCATCTCATGGTTAATAATCTAAGGGGAATTAATTATATTGATTAAACCAATAAGCCGCTTGTGTTGAGGTTATCAATCTCAATCGTTTTCATCTTAAGTTTATTGCTACTATCAAGTTAATATACGGCGCTTGTTCTATATTGACTCGATAGTAAGTTTTATTAATGAACGCTTCTCGTTATTAATAACTACCCTCGATGAACTGGATATACTCCTCGATTGAGTATTCGAGAGGAAGATAGTTAAAGATATAACTGGGATCGACGAACATTTCATTAAGTGGATAAAAGCAAAGTCAAGTCTCCTTCTCATTAATTAAACTCATTTAAGTCATTCATCTTAGTGTTAATTAAATCAAATCAAATCTAAAAACCCCCCTTTGTTACTAGTTAATTAAAAAGAGAAATATTCTTTTCCCTGTGGATACGAACCTTACTTCGCTATACTACGTATTGGTGTCGTATTGATATTTATTTTGAGTGCACCTCACGACAAAGTGCACGTCACAACATCCGTGCCAAAAACACTTGGCACGAGCTATTTGCATTGGCAGGGATTTTGATCGGGATTTGGCAACCAAAAAAACACGAGATTGTCAGGGATTTTGATTGGGATTATGCCAAATCCGTGCCAAAAACACTTGGCACGAGCTATTTGGCACGAAAAACCAGTAATTCCGTGTCAAATTCCGTGTCAATCCCGTGTTTTTTTTGTAGTGGTATAATTATGTAATAATAGTAAATATATAGTGCTAGCTTGTGCCGTATATGATAGCAATAATAGCAAAAAAGTATTGAGCATTTAGCTTGAGTAGTTGAATATTTTATAGGATAGAATTATAAGAATTAAAATATATTTAATGAAATGAAATGCAAAACATGTGGTGCAGCCGAGTTGTTAAGAACTACCGCCCTTAGTGCCTTTGTCCTTCACCATCCCACATTCACACACCGAGTGGTCCCTTCTTTCAACACCATATACGTAGTATATAAGAGACACTCGTTTTCATTGGACTAGGCGAATAAATGCTCTCGCTTGTGTTCAATTAGCCTCTCAGTCCAAAGCTTTGTTTTGTATTGGGCTTCAGTGTGTTTTTATCGGCCGTCACGCCTTTGATCACGCATATGGATCATGCTGGGCGTTTTGCTCGCACCTTGCGCTTATGCGGGCCTAGGCGGTGCCTTATTGGGCCTTTTAGAACACTGCGTTCAGGTCCTTATTGGTCCTTTTAGAACACTGCGTTCAGGTCCATTAATTCATCATTTACACACAACAAATCTTCCATTCCTCACGTATTTCTTAGTTCTAAATACACACTGCTAGCACTCTGAAAAATTCCTTTTGTGTTCATCCTTTGTTCTCGTTCGTTGGAACTCTTGTTTGAGTGCTCAAACATTAGTCCGTAGTCATCGTTTTTCTGCAACGAATACTTTGACTAAATTCTGCTCCATCTTATTTCTGTTTTCTTTCGTCATTTTAATTAATTTATTTTAATTAATTTTCTTTATTTTTCGAAACACACCCAACACTAAATAGTGTCAATGGTTTTTCGATCGGTTTTTGTCAGATGAGGTTTGCCTTTTCAACAATAATTGCACTCATGATCGGCTCAAGGCAATCCAAGGTAAATGCTTATTATAAAACTCTAAGCAACACATTTTACTTCATGGTATTAATTTTGTTGCCCCCCTTGCATCAAATTTATCTAGACTTATTAAGAAACGTTACATAAAACATTACCCATTTTTGGAATTTCTACAATAAGCTACATGCATATTATGTTTTTAAAGAACAACCTCTACACCAAAACCGTGATATCTACATCACTTGACACGGAATTGACTTAGATTAATTAATTGAGTTCGGGCACGACTCAAAACATATAGTTTACACGAACGGGTCCTTCCTAAGCATGATTACGATTTACTAGACTAATTGTGGCTCTCAAATATTCGTGCTAAATCCGTGAAATCTCGCTAGTTTTTTGCAGTGCACAAATTTGAGACACATGTATAAGATATGCATTGTTTTTTGACAACAGTAAACGACAATGTGTAACTGTGAAAATAATTAATAAAGGAGAATTTATTATTGCAATACTATTATTGCACTATAATAATTCATAAACACAAATTTGAGACTGGTATAGGGCTAACACTTTATCCAACGTAAGACTACTTTGGTATTTCTACGCATATGATAATGCTTAATTTTACCAAAAGCTTGTCCTTCCGAAAGGGATCCGTTTGTGTATGAATATTTACATATATATGGCGTCATCATGCACATGGCTTTAATTTGCCCGGTCATTCTAATTGCCTAAAGACGCAACGCATGCAGTAAATGCAGGCCCCTTTGCTCCTCCCACACCAGGCAATATTTCCCGGCCCATCCCCTGATCTCATTAAGAGTTACTAGTACTACGTCGTAGGAGTACTTATTTAGTTAATTAATGTAGCTAGTTGACATGTCTTTGCTTTAATTTGCACAATCCAATTTAATCCTCTCTCCACCGTTACACCTTCTACTCTCATATATATGTACGTAGTGGGCTCTTGTTAGCTGTTGGCCATCATATATCACGTTACGTTCTTCGATCACGTATAGTACCTCTTATCTATCTATCTAATCAAGCTCTATCAAACAACTGCATGCTATCTGCTTAGCTACCTGATAAACGATGGCCAGAGTTCTGCTCTTCGGTTTTGTGTTGGTGTTTACCATTGCTGTTCACGCTACAACTCTTGCCGATTCTCGATCCGTTCATCTTAAATATGTCAACAAGGCCTTGGAAAAAGGAGCTGGTTCGTTCCGAGCTACTGTTTTTCATTTAATATTTACCTACTACATGTTTATGAGTTAATATTTCTCATGCACGGGCCTTCAGATAGCTAGAAATTAAAGTTCATTTTTGTTTACTACTATACGTACGTAGTAATGAATACGTACTGATGCATGGATATTCACATGAGTGCAGTTTGTTTGGATGGTAGTCCGGCTGCATACTACCATGACAAAGGGGTGGGGGATGGGCGTCACAATTGGGTTATTTACCTTCAAGTAAGTATGTCTTTCAATCCATTCTTATACTACATATTAAATGATGATGAAACATATATATGTGCATGAAAGTTGGATTATATATTAATACTCCGTACATACCTGAAAGTATGTTTTGGAATTAGATTTTGAAGGAGAGGGGAAAGGTGATTAGGGTTTATTAATTTAAGATCGTTTTTTTTCTTATTTGGAAAATTGAAAAATTTGAAGGGAATATTTTAAAGGATTATATGTTCCCTGATTTGGAGATTTTGAATGATAACAAATTAATAAATGATATTTTTTTTGAAAATAATTAAATGATAATTTTAATTAATTAGGTCGATTTAAAATGAACACATGAATAAGCGATTTTAATTATAGTTTTCGTAGTCATTCTTTTTTAAAATTTATAACTCCCAACAAAAATAAAGATACTTTTCGATCACTTCTCATGTCTTTCTCTTCCCTTCTCACGGTTAATCTTCAAAAATTTCCCTTCCCCTCCTCCCTTCAATTAAAGCCCAAACGTGAGGGAATTGAATTTGCCGAATATGATAAATTTGTGGTTTACGTGGTGTCTGACAACTAAGTGTGTGATATAATTAATTATACTGTACTACTCCGTATTTTTTTATTTGCATTTGAAATATTATTGTAAGTTTGAATGGCCCATGGCTGATTATAATTAATTAATGTCCAACTCGATCAATTTAAGGGAGGAGGCTGGTGCTCTAATCACACGGACTGCAAAAATCGCTCCACCTCAGGCCTCGGAACTTCTACTCGTTTCAACAAAACTCTCGCCTTCGATACTCCTTTTTTTAACAACAATTCCAGCAGTAATCCTGGTAATAAATCTTCACCTTTTCATTTTTATTCATTTAATTATTTTGTTCCTTTTTCTAAAGAACTATTTTGTTCCTTTAAAAACATGTTCGCATGCATGCAAGCGGACTCTCTCAGTTTTTTAACTGACTAATTATATAATCTGGGTAACTCCAGTGTGAGTAATGTTTATCACTTTATCCATTTAGTAGCACTTTTTATCTTATCTAAAATGAACAATTACATATTTACATACACATTTTCAAATTAAGGTCATAACGTAACTCATAAGTACGTTTATTTTTAAAGCATTTGATATGCGTAAACGGTAAAAGCTGATATTGAAGAATTTATATAAAAAAAAAAAGAGAAATAACTTCATAAAATGTGGTACGTAATTATACATACCGAGTACAACCTAAAATGCTTTTAGTTTGAAGATCGATAATTATAAATTTTACTTATATGATTGATCGAATTTGAAAAAAACGAGACCATATATAAGGCTTAGTGACCATAATGCATGTTACATGCCAAAAACTAAAACAGCCCTTCTAACTTCAATTCATTACTGGACATGCATATTGTGTATATATGTCTAGAGTTCTACAACTGGAACAGAGTGTTTGTTCCATATTGTGACGGATCTTCGTTTACCGGAAACAAAGAAGCTGTTGATCCGGTAAGTACTCGACTGTTTCATTCAGAAATTCTCACCGTAAACGTATATATAGCCAGGGCTTAATTTAATTTCAATATAACTTGAAGCTTCTAACATTTTATGTACTATTTTATATATAAGGTTACTAATGTAACCTACAGAGGCTTCAGAATCTTTGAGGCCACAATGGATGATCTCATGTCTAAAGGAATGAAGAATGCTCAAAATGTAAGATATTGCTCCGTATTTAATTTGTAACACAATGCTCAAAATAGTAAGGATAATAATTGAAGGCTTATAATATCTAGACTATACTTTGGCATAATTTTGCATGTCAAACTCATCAACTTTAACTTTATTAAACAAGTACAGTTGATATGTTTGTCATTTATTGAAAAGTATATATGATTGGTTATGTCTAATAATACTCCGTATATATGTATGCTATCGCGTATCAAAGGAAAAGCAAAAAGATACGAGTAGTAGTATATGAATTGATCATGGCTACTTTTGACCTAAAAATTAAAGAGCTTATATACAGAGTAATACTTTCTCGGTTCTTAAATAAGTGCAACAGTCAAGATTTCACACTTGTCGAGGCACAACTTTGACCATTAATATACTCCGTATTACGTATATAATCCTCGAATAGTAAAAAATTTTAAAAAAAAAATCATATTTTGAAAATTTACGAGACAAACTTAATACGAAGTATTTTTTTTTCCAAAAATGTATATTAATAAATCAATAAATAAAATGTAGTCAAAATAGAATATATGAATAGTGTAAAATTTAGAATGTTGCGCTTATTTAAGAACGGAGGTAGTAATATGTATGTGATATGGTAATTAATATTGAAACAATGGAATTAATTATAGGCGATTCTTAGCGGAGGTTCGGCAGGGGGATTGGCAGCTATGATTCATTGTGACCGGTTTCGGGATCTTCTCCCAATTACTGCACGAGTCAAGTGCCTCGCAATTGCATCTTACTTTGTGCATGAGTAAGTTTACCTCAATTCGTAATTTAAATTACACATAGATCACCAAAATACAGTATGTGTTTGGCAAGAATATGTCAAATTCGTGTCAAAAACACTTTGACACGACCTATTTAGTACTACGTATAAACTATAAAATAACCTGTAAATTCGTGCCAAATTGGTGTCATTCCGTTTTTTTGTAATTATGATATGTACGTCTTATATGTGTGTTAAAGTGAGTTTCAAGTAAATGAAATAACTTTTGAACTCATTATGCAATATTAAAGGTGACTGGGAACTATTTAAATATGCTTCTAGTCCATCTTTCGACAGGGCACATCTTGATGGAAGCAAACAGTTTGAAGCAAAGTTCGAGGGGTTGATTAGTTTACACGTATTTTCGATCGCTCCCCTTACAATTTGTCATTATTAAATATGTTACTATACGCGCGTAATTAATTAGACACTAAAATTTATTAACACTATGGAGTTCGCTTTGGGTTTTTTAGGGATCGTCCAAAGCATTGCCTCCCCTATGCACATCAAGAATGAATCCGAGTTTGGTGAGTTGAGAAAATGTTTATTGATAAATATTGCCCAATATAATATGATGAATATGTACTACTAATAAAATTCGATTTTTTCTGGCTGGCCATCAGTGCTTCTTCCCTCAATACTTCTTGCCGACTATAAGAACACCTGTTTTTATAGCAATGTCGTCATTCGATCGAGTCCAAGTATGTTCTTAGCTTTAATACTCATCTCCTAATAATAATGATAATCCCATAATTTGGCTGCTACTAATTAAATAGTGTCAATGATTTTTGGGTTTTTTTCCAGATAAGATATAACTTATGTCTGGAGGATGAGGTTTGCCTATTGCACAATAATTGCACTCATGAACGGCTGAAGGCAATGCAAGGTACGTAAATGCTGATTTTTAGCCTTTAGCACACTCGTTTTACTTCATGTGTAAAAGTTTTTGCTCCTCTTACAGACTTATTCAGAAACATTAAAACAATAAAACATCACCCATTATATGTTTTTAAAGCATATTATGTTTTTAAAGCATAAAACATTATTTGATGTGAATGAACCACCACGTAGTACACAAAAACAATGGTAATGACACAGAATCAAGGTAACCCAGATTAATGGAGTTCGGCAAGTACACTATATGAATTGAATCTATCTATTCTTGTCACAAAAGTTTGGAAAGGTTTCCGTCCTTAAGTAGTACTCCGTAATAATAATAATAATAATAATAATAATAATAATAATAATAATAATAATAATAATAATAATAATAATAATAATAATAATAATAATAATAATAAGGGGTAATTTGAGTTTGCACCCCATATTATTGTCCAAATTGGACTTTGCACCCCGTTTTTAAAAGTCTTTGTTTTTGCACCCCAACTACATATGAAAATACAAAAATGCCCTTGATCAAGAATATGTTGAAGATCAAAAGAATTGTTAATGGAGGGGCATTTTTGTCTTTTCATATGAGGTTGGGGAGCAAAAACAAAAACTTTTAAAAATGGGGTGCAAAGTCTAATTTGAACAATAATATGGGGTGCAAACTCAAATTATCCCTAATAATAATAATAATAATAATAATTATTATTATTATTATTATTATTATTATTATTACTATTACTCTATATTTAAAAACAAGGGGGTTTGAAATTGCAATACAAAATAAGCTTATTGTAAATAAAGTAACCTTTTAAACCAGGGGAGATATATTGCACTATCATAATTCATAAACACAAATTTGCGCCACCATGATAAGAAATATATGTCGTTTTATACCATTCTCATTTTTGAGTGAATATCAACGTAAGACTCCTTTGAATACTCTACGCATATGATCAACTATGCTCGACTTTCTGGGAAATTTAGATTTGAGGCATTATGTTCTTTCCAAGTTACCAAAAGCTTGTCCTTCTCAAAGGGGAGTGTGGATTACTAGTTGCATCGCCCATGATCTACCGTACTATTGGAAAACGGTATTGAATTCCTTTTCCTTTTTCTTGCATAAAAATCGTTAGCATTAATTAATTGTTGCTTGATTGAGCACTTTATCCTTCCGTTGAACTAAACTTGTTTGTTTTTTTCTCTCTTGCAGACTTATGGCAAAGTTCTTAGCGGTTGGTTTATTGATGGAAGTTATACTCAAGTAATTGAGGATTCAGAAATACCAAGAAATTGTAGTTCAGAAGGCATCTCTCCCATTTAACTGCGCCCAGGCCACATTTAGTTTAATTAAGTTTTCCTTACAACGTAACAATGTACTGTTTGTGTTTGACCTACTTATTTTTCTTCATGGAGATGAGGGACATGCATGGATGCCCTGGCCTCAAGTCATTATCTCATCCTTAATCCTTAGTAATTAATTAATTAACTCAACTCTCCTCTAATCTCTAATTCACCTTTTGTGATTTATAGATCTTCTTGTGCACCTCCGATATACTTCGGGTATATCTAACTTTTCATTACCACGTATTAATATAATCACTCTCTATGTAATCGAATAATAAAAAGTAATTTAATCATCAATCCACTATCTTAAAATCAACAAGGAACATTGGAATGGGATGATGGAGTATGTAGATTTAATAAATTAGTGAAATCAAAACATACAATTATTTGTTTATTCATTTATAGCTTACTCTCGGTCTTTACACTACACTATAAATAACTTAAAGCAACACTTTACAAAAAGGCTAAAGGTTCAAATAGATACATGAACTAACTTAAAGTGTTCAATTAGCCCCTTATATAGGATGTTTTGCCCGGACTTCGCAAATTGGGGCGGTTCCCGGTTGAATTTTTTGATGAAATCTTTTGAGCATCTTCTTCATTAAGTCTAGTTTATCCATACCAAATTTCAGCTAAAAATTCAATCGGGAAAGCAGTCAAATAATTTTTTAAAGATAACTACGCAGTTAAACTATTTGACTGCGTAGTTATCTTCAAAAAATTATTTGACTGCTTTCCCGATTTAATTTTTAGCTGAAATTTGATATGGTAAACTAGACTTAATGAAGAAGATGCTCAAAAATTTTCATCAAAAAATTCAACCGGAAATCGCCCCAATTTGCGACGGCCGGACAGAACCTCCTACATAAGGTGCTAATTGAATACTTTAAGTTAATTCATGTACATATTTGACCTTTTAGCCTTACGGGCTAATATTTTCATGTAGTCACCCCGAGAGGCACCATACCGTGATACCATCGCCCTACAGAAAAAGTATTTTTGGTTTAATAAAAAATACATGTTTTTTCAACCAAATACTGTACACAAATAGTGCATCCAATTTAGAGTGATCAAAAGTCAACCTAAATACGTATATTTAAGAGGTACGTAATGACACCAATCTAAGATCTTGCTTTAAATATTTTTAGTGCGAAGCTCAATTACATCTCATTTCAAAATATCTTGATAAACCTCAACGGAGATATGGGTTTAACAGGATAAGGAGTTTTAAGAAGAGCTTACCGGAAGATGTTATCAAGGTGCCACACTTATTTGAGTAATTTGAGTTCAGCTCCTTACAAGTAAGTTCACTACCACCTGTACATGTTTGTTCAACCAAATGCAAGAAAGAAGTCTGGTTAATAGATAATTTTAGACTATTTGCTATTATGTGAACTAGTTGAATTATGTGATGAGTTATTTTATTTGCTGGATTAAGTTATGTTTATTATCTGGCATAATCAAGATTTGTCAGTACTTTTTTGTTCAGATTTAATGATGTTTTTAGTCAAACGTCACCATAAAAAAAGAACTAATATTTAAAGTGAAAGATCACGTGATATGTACTCGGGAAAAAGTTCCCTCAATTTATCAGTTTATCAGTTTCAGAGAGTCCGATATGTTTAGTGGGTCGCTCCCCTGAGCTGTCGGATTGGCTCCTTTGAGTACATATCACGAGCCCACAGTTAAAATTAGCCACAAAGAGTTTTACAGAAAGCTTATGAGATCTCTTTCAGAAAGTTTTACAAAAAGTTGTTTTTGAGATCTCTTTCAGAAAGTTACAGAGATGTTTTTAGAAAGAAATTTTGAAATCTCTCCAGCAGTTTTGAGAAATTATTTTAGAAAATATTTTCCTTTTTGAGATCTCCCTCAGAATGTAATCGAGAAGTTATGTGTTAGTTATTTGTTCAATGCATGCTTATTGTCTAAATTTGTCTATTGAAAAATTGGCATAGACTTCTAGATATTTTTGTGGACCCATAGTGACTTACTAAGCGTAAAGCTTATCAGTTTCCTTTCTTCGCATGTACAGTAACTAAGGATAAGGTCAAGGTCTAGAAAGATGATGAGAGAGTGGAACGCGTGCCAAGATGAGTTAACGGGAACGACCTTGGCGGCTTCTAGCTAGGTATTATTATGTTTCAGTATTTCTGTTATTATAATAAAGAGTTTATTAATACTTTATTTTATTTAAGGTTTCAAGTTTGAATAAATTTCTGGATCCAGGTGGTTATCACATTTGCTGGTGATAACTATATTTAATTGAGTTTTTATCAAGAGTTATACTTTAATTATATTTGAGATTGTATCAGGGTTAAATTATTTTCTTAAACAAACGTCTGTTACATTGCAGTTTATTTTTTTAAAAGCAGTAAGTAGTGTAACGATTCCTTTAACCCTGAGAGGGGCGTTACACATGTATACCATAAATCGAGTTAATATTTACTCAATAAATACCAATTATTTGCATCACTGTCTATTTGTTGGTATCTTTTTGCTTGCACACAATATTTCTCTTGACTTTATTTCAATATCAAATATTGAAATTTAAAAATTATTAAATATTGAAGTTTAAAAATAAGATAAGAAAACCACTTGGATATTACAATAGCCTGTGATATTTATAGTAGTATCAACAATAAAGATTGGTGTTATTTGTTGCACATAATTGATTAGCATATTCAGTGCAAAGCTCTATATAATCCAAACCAGAGCCCTCAAGCACTATCCCTTCATAATCAATGCACTCCTGTATATATTCTTCTTTGGATATGGGTCCCATACTTGGCATATAAATTGTATCTGCAATCGGCGTTGGTGATGCATTGCTTGCAGACACTAATAAAGGCCAAAGAATTGGCATTGCAACCAAGCACACAAAGACGATAGTGACATGCTTCAAATTACCCATACTAAGTAAATTTCTATTTCCTTTCCACAATTTCACTTTTATTTCACAGAACTTCTCTATAGGAGTATATATATGCTTGCCTGCTATTCCATGAATAAAATAGTTAATTGCATTTTCCCAGTTATAGGTAACTTAAGGTTATTGATTTAATACTTTGTATTTAATGAACAAGCCGTTTCATATAATTCATTTATCATCACTTATCGTTCCAATAAGTTCGATTCCTAAAAGTTAACTGAGGAAATTAACTTTACCCTAGTTCAAATATACGATAGGATATAATGAATTGGATTTTCAATCTTACAAATGCACAAAGTAATATTCCAATAACTATTTCTTCAATTAAGTTATATTTTTCAAAAATGAAGGCGTAACATACACATAGAGATTGTATTACATTTTAAAGAAGTTGCATGGCAATGAGAAGTGTTTCTTATGCACATTACAATCATCAAGAATAAATATTGACATACACATTCAATAAGTATTGCTATCCGAAAACAAATTAAACATTGATATGAGAAGCTAAAATAAAAAATGGTTTAAAGATGATTTTAGTTCCTGCAAATATGACACACATTGTTTTAGGTCCCTTTAAAATATTTTCATTGTTTTTCATCCTTGAAATTTATGTCGGTTTTCTTTTTAGTCCATGAGTAATTATAGAAACTTGTGTTTGTCAACAAAACAATCCCGACTAATAGGTTCCCTCTAATTCTTTGTCATTTCATTCAAAAAAATATTTCCTCTTGCCGAGACACAACTTTGACCATTAATATAAATGATTTTGCATTAGTAAAAAATTAAAAAAATTAGATTATGAAAATTTACAATGACACAAGTTTAACAACACTTTTTTCATAAAATAATATTATTACATTAATACATAAAACGTAGTCAAAGTAGAACATGTGAATAGTATAAAAGTCAAAGTGTTGCATTTATTTAAGAACGGAGGTAGTATTTAATTTCATTTTTTGAAGTTTTTTTTATAAAACTTTCAAAATGTCATACCTTTGTCCACATGGAACAATGAGAATGTAGCAGTTGAATTATTTAAATCTAAATTAAGAATGATAAAGTGATGTGATCCAATCAAATGAATGATATGTACGGTACCTCATTTTTTAAAAGGGTACTGAAGTTGTCACCATTCTGCAAATCTATGTCATTGTTTTTTCAAATTTACAACTCAACAAAAATAGAGTTAGACATTGGGGGTGTTGGCAATAAGCGGTTGGCTGTTAGCTGTTAGCTGCAATGCACCCTCCCATTGGAGCAGGAGAACATCGAAGGAGCGGACGCGCTGGGCAAGGCTTATGAACTACTGGATCTGGAGGAGGATGACAAGGTCATCGTGGTTGCACCTATGGCACCAAACTCCTCGAAACACAATCTGTCCATGGTCGGAACCATAACATCAGAAAAGTCGGTACGTTTTTCCCAGTTTAGAGATATTATGGCATCTGTGTGGAAACCTGAAAATGGTGTTACTATAACTGAAATTGGCCCTAGAAGGTATGTGTTTCAGTTCTATAAGGAGGATGATGTTATAGGTGGAGGAGGAGGGACCATGGCTTTTTTATCAGAACGTAATTGTTATGAGCAGGCTTAAAGAGGGAGATATTTCCCTATCTATTCCACCGAATAAAGTAGTTTTTTGGGTTCAAGTTCATGATATCCTAGTGGGATATTAATTTCACTGTTGAGAATGCGGAATGAATTGGGAACTTTTTGGGTACTTTTATAAAATTTGATGACCATAATTTTTCTGAGAGTTGAGAATCATTTATGAGAATTCGTGTATGCGTTGATCTGGGCAAACCTTTGAAAAGGAAATTGCTTCTGCAAAAGAGGAAGGAGTCACTTTTCGTGTCAGGTTTTGCTATGAGAAACTGCCCCGCTTTTGCTTTCTGTGTGGTATAATAGGGCATGCAGAGAGTCATTGCCCGCGCAAGCAAAGGGGATATGAAGTCACTGGTGAAAGGCCTTTTGGCCCTTGGCTTAGGGCTACAAAAGGGGCAAAGCAATGGTAAGAGAATAAATGGCTTGTTCTAGCAGGGAAAGGAATCAATTCTGAAAGCAAGGCTACCGGTGGTAATAGAGAGGAAGGCATGTGATGTGTGTTTTCTCGCACTTAAAAATGACGTAGTAAAGTGGTTGAAAGTACGAGTATCGTCTCCACAGGGACGGACAAAAGGGAATTAAAGATTAACTAAATTTAGCGAATAAAAGTAAAATAAAATAAAATAAAATGCAAGTGTGCGAGATTGATTGATTGAATAAAAATTAAATTAAACTAATGCGAATGAGCGAATAAAATAAATGTTTGGTTTCTTTCTAATAACGACAAAGGGAACAGGGATTGATTCCGGGGTAATCAGATTTCTGGCAGAACAGGCCTAATTACATGAATTTAATTTAATTGAGCCTAGCTAATCATTACTAAGTTCTTACCGCTCTCGCGGCGTAGAGTACAATAATTTAGGGGACCAGGCTGATCTCTCATGCGACAAGATCCTAAATTATTGCCAAAACGAGCGAGCTTATGGCTCCTTAATCGCTACTAATCTCTTAGCGAACGATTAAGTGTGTGTGAAGGTGTCCTAGAATAAATTAGATCTCTCTTAATTCATTCTACATGCAATTGTAATTCTAGCCGCGGTTCCAGGTTACAAAAGATATCAGTTAAATTATTCAAACACAAATTAAACGGCATTCATGCCATTAAACCGATAAGAATCTAGCCATCAATCATGATTAACCCCTTCATCAATCCCAAATCCCTAATTAAACTACTCACAATTCATAATTGAAGAATCAACAGAATCGGGATGAATAGAAATAATTGTCATTAATTAAAAAGATATAACTTACAAAGAATCCCTTAATCTTGAAGAACAAGGCTTGAAAAGCTCTCAAAAATCGAAATAGGGTTTATCTCTCTAAGCTCATAAGTTAAAAACAGGCAAAACAAGGGTCTATTTATAGAAAAATCCGAAAACAGGCCGAAAATCAGGCCGCGCGGTCGTCCGCACGCCGTGCGGGTCACCACGCGGTCACGCGCGCGTTTTTCCGTCTTCCGACTTTCGCTCCGCCCGCGCGGTGTGCGGGCGCCGCACTATGCAACCGCGCGGGTACTTCTGGGGGCTGTTTCTGGACCGCGCGGTGTGCGGTTTCGGCCGCGCGGTGTGCGGTTCAGACCCCTCAACTATTTGCTCTCAGAATCGTCCGCGGGGCGTGCGGAACCGCACCGCGGGGCGCGCGGACTCCTCTAGTACCGTTTTCTTGCTATTTTCTTCCCCGTTTGCTCCCAATCGATCCTATCTTCAATCTTCAACCTTCCGAACCTTAAATCATGCCTTAAAATCACCCCATGGACCTCCAATGCCTCTAACTAGCTCTCGATCATATCCCGAATCTTCTCAACTTTAGCTCAAATGCCAATGTCTAGTCTGATTTCTTTCTTTTCTTCAACGAATGCAAACCAAACTCGGAAAAAACCGTGACTTGAGCTAAATAAATACTTTGTGAACCAAATAAATTAGGAAAAGTGACAAAACTCAATCTCAACACGCATCAAATGCGTGTTGAAATACGAACTTATCAGCATGCGACCAGATACGGTGGAAGGCGGGCTCTTACCACATGAGAGGGGATACATCGAGCAGAAACGAAGGCGCGTGGAAGACTCAACAGAGCACCAGACCGGGGAGGAGATGGAGATTGTTCCTACCGGGGGGAAAACGGAGAGGAGGCAAGCTACAAATCTGTAGCTCGCTGATAGTATAGAATTGTTATTGTTTATGTGCTCTTACCACTAGTTTTATTTGTTGTTGTTTGGGAAATTACACACTTTTGGTGTGATACTTTATTTTTCCTATTTTGTTTGTAATTGGTTTAGATTAGGATTATTCTGAGCTTTAACTAGGTAAAGATCATCAAAAGGATCCTTGGAAAGGTCAAGGATCCTTGGAAAGGTCAAGGGAACAAGATCAAGTGAAAATTTGGAAAAATAGTCATTTACCCGGTCGGGTAAAGCATTTACCCGATCGGGTATTGACTGGATCCGAAAATAAAATCTGATATGGGGGAAATTGAACGTGTAGGTGAAGATTTGGCAAAGATATGCCTTGATGTTTCACTATCAATCTGCAACGCATCAAAAATACTAAATATGTAGAAACTGAACACTAACTGTAATAAGAACAGATTACATAAGTCGGGTCTCATCAGTGAGTATATTTTCATTGATTAACCGTTGTTGCACAAATACATCCTCTATGTAAATTCAATGAATGAAAGGATTATAAGGACACCAAAAACATATTGAATTTCTGATTTTTTGAAAAAGAGTGGTTACAGGTACCTTTGCATCTTGGAGAACACTATGGAATGCTAAGGAACTTGAATGGACCCTACGACCTTCCCTGTCAATTGGTCGTGTTTCGTTGTGGTGGTGTGATAAAGATCAGTCATATTTATACATAGAATATTTGAGGAGCTTCGAATGCGTATGAGAAATTATCCAATGGTTAATAATGTGTAACTTCCTGTGAAATAAAGTCTGATTGGACAACACGTTGCAGACTAATGTTGACCTAATATTTGCTTTTAAAGAGATTCGTGTTACACGCCACTAGCAAGCTATATCAAAATTCCAATAAAGTAGTTTTGTCACATCCGAAGTACAGTGCATTAAATATGTAAAAAAAATGTGTAATCAATATGTGTAATCGGCCATTAATATTGAGACCGACCCGGCCCATATTTTGCTGGTTGTTTAGGCGGAAAACAGCCTGTTTTTCCACCTCTTTTTATATAGAGGTAGATTATTTTAATTTTTATAAAAATGTTAGTAATTTGTAATGAAATAATTACATATTTATGACTCATTAAAAACATTAGTTACAAAAATGTGAAACCTTAAGTATATATAGTAAATATAGTATAGTTTTAGTTATGTTAGTTTTTGTTCAATTTTTAAACTTAAGTGATCATGACATAACGACACTATATTATACTATG